TCCATCATGGCAGACATCAATAAGGCTCAACATAGCTAGATTATACATAAGTGTAATCTGTTACACCTCCATCAGATGCTGCTCCACTTGCTCAATGGAACCTCAATATATCCCCCTATTTCACATACAAGACAATATTTGCCTAATATATCATATAGTTTTTTGGGCTTCTTTTTCTTCTTCCTTTCTTTCTTTCTTCCAAAGCTTACCCTGATTTTGCCCATTTCACATCTTCTCAAACCATTATGGTCAATTACGTTGCATTTTTTATTATAGAAAACAAATTAACAGATACAGGCATTCAATGGACATAGGGAGTATGTACCAAATTTGCTATTATTTGTGACTTACAAAGAATCACCCACCAGTGTCTGTCAATTTTTTTTAGTAATCTTTTATCGTTTCACACAGTCATCTAAACTTGCAATTATATATTACTTTTTGATTCAATTACTAACAATTTCATATAAGCGAGTCTGTTGTTGTTTTCCTTCGCAAACGACTGATCCAGGAAATACCATTAAAGGCACTCCTGAGAATCCGCAAACATCTCCGTATGGACCATAAGCCTTCCTCACCCCCATCCATCTTGGATTGTCTCCCCCTATTTTCTTCCTTTTGAGGTTATTCCTTGCCCATTCTTTGCAACAATGTCAATAGATTTTCTTTATCTTCATATGGTCTTTGGGTAAATGTATAACACATTATTACTTCCATGTTGCACGATTTTCTTATTATCCACTTACAAAAGAAAGGCCGTGGATGAAGTGCATTTCAATTTCCATCGTTAGGCCTATATACCATTTGGCTATGCGAATCACAATCAATCCATTTGGCCTTTGGACTAAACTGACTACATATGCACCTTCACTCGACATCAGAATATAAATACCAAATTCATAACCATTATCAACATACAATAGTTGCAGACAATCGCCCACCAGTAGCCATGTGCAAAAAAATTTCCCTCCTGTAACTATATCCTACTAAACATCTTACCAGTAAGATTCGTAATCTCATTGTCAAATTCACCTTATCCATATCTCATGACCCACACGGCTCATATCTAATCAGCAATGGAGAAAAAAAAAACACCATATCATGACACTATATTATTATCATTATTATTATTATTAAAAATTCAACAACACATACTATTAAAAAATATATTATAAAAATCCCATACTATTTAAAAAAAAAAACACCTTATCATTTTTATAAAAATCCATTTACGAAAAAAAGAAAATAAGGAACATACAGTATCATTAAAAAAACATCAATATAATCTTTGAAAACCGGTTAACGCACAGAGAGGGAAAATAGACACTGCCATCTTATAAAAGCACAAGAAATGGAGTAATAAACAACACAGGGACAGCTGCCGCGGCTTCATATTTACCGCGAAATGACAAAAATATCCGCTGCATGTCACTAAGACTAAAGTCCACAGTGCAATCACACACCTAGAGTTCTAAGTGTCTTTTAATTTTCTTTCTTTCTTTTTTCAAGAGGCATGAAATACCAATTATAAAGGAAGGAAGGGCGGGTACAGGGGGGGGGGGTTGCCCTCCTGTCTACTGGGCTGAATAGAAGATCGGAAAGTTTAGGTCTGGATTTTGGGTTCGGATGATAGCCTGGTTTTGGGACTTCTTACCTGGAGGGTGTGTCGCTCTTGGTAACAAATAACAAATAAACACCATATTATTGAAAACAAAAAACAAAAGTACACCATATTTAAAAAATAAAACACCAAATTCTTAAAAAATATATATTACTTAAAAAAAAAAAAAAGCACCATATTGTAAAAAAAAAAGCGCCTCATCCTTTTTCTTTCAATTTTCTTGAAAGAACAAACAAAAAAAACAAATACATGCATATATATTTTTTTTTTCTTTTTTTCCTTGAAATCTGATGACGCAATTGATAGGCCTACATCGTCATCTTTAATTCTCTAATCAATATCCCCCTTTTCTTTATTAATTACTCTCCTATGACACAAATAAATCTAAAAATCCCTCTACCCCCCAAAAAAAATAAAGAAAAAAACTTAATCTCTCAAAGATAAAACAAAAAACAAACAAAAAAAACTACAAATTCTTATCGTCCTTATCAAATGAAATAAAAACAAAAAATCCTTAAGTAATTCCAGCCAAGACACCTACCCACGTGAAAGAGAAAGAAAGAGAGAGAGAGAGAGAGAAGAAGAAAAAAAAAATTGATCCCAAGTCACATGACAAATGACAAATGACTTTTTTTTCCTTTAATTCTCTCCCTTCATTCTCCTGACACGTAGACCCAACGTAACAATAAACACTAAATATCTCGAAAAGTACCTTAATTCACCCTATATTAGACCTCACAAGCAGATTTCCCAACGATTCTCACCTCCTCCGCCGTTTTTCTCCTTCGTTTTCCGTTGCAAAAAGAGGGAAAAGGAAATTAGAAGAACTCGGAGGAAAATTCGTGCGTCGCTTTCTGTCGCGAGTTTAACCTGTTCTGAACACGGTCTCGTAACCTCGGATCCTTTATATCCTTGGCGTTGTCGTACTCTTGGGTGTAAAGGTGTCGTACTTTTCCCGTGCTTTCTTATTCCTTTTTTTTATCTTTTGTCTTGTCATCCCTCATGCTTGTGGTTATTGTACTCTTTTTTATTATTCGTGCTTCCTTATTTTTTTATTTTTTTATCGTTTATCTTGTCATTCGTGGTTTTCTTTTGATTTGGTTTATTTATCATCTTGTCAAGTTCTCTTTCGTTTTTTCTTTTCGTGTTTTCCTTATCTTTTATATTATCATCTATCCTTTCGAACTTTTTTCGTGCTTTCTTATCTTTTATCTTATCACAATTTGGTGTTATCTTATGAGCGATTTTGTTGAGATTTTGTGTTTTTTTCCATGATTGCTGATTTTTTTTTCTCAGGGACTATTATTACTTAGAGTTCTGTATTTGCTAATGTATTTCCTAAATGATTTCGGTATACCTATTTGATTACATAATTGTGGTTATGTTTTTAGTTTCCTTTTACTTCTCGATTTCTGTCTTCTGTTTTTGCTTTCTTCATCTCTACCTCCTTTATACTGCTTTATCCTCCTAGCTTCCCTCTCGTCATCAACCTATCAGTCTATCTCTTCATTATCACAGTTATCATTCCCATTCTAAATACCTTTATCGTTATCAATTCTTCAGATAATTATTAATATCACAGTTACCATAAAAAATGATTAATGAAGCACCAATGCATTAAATTTGCAGTTATCATTCCCATTCTAAATACCTTTATCGTTATTAATTCTTCAGATAATTATTAATATCACAGTTACCATAAAAAAATGATTAATGAAGCACCAATGCATTAAATTTGCAGCTCGAAATTTGACCTTGAGGTTTCCATGGTATCTCAAGAAGGAAGTGGGCGGGTCTTATTTATCCCCCCCCCTCTCTCTCTGCCTCTCTTTTCCTCCTTCCCTCCCTCTCTTCTTTCCTCCCACTCTCTATGTATATATATATACATACATATATATACATATGCATACATGCTTACACATGTACATGTTTACATATATACATACAAGCAGTCCGTCAGTCCGTCGTCTGACTGTTTGTCTATTTATATGGATGTATGTATATATGCATATATATACATATATGTGTATAAACACACACCCACACACCCACGCGCACACACACACACACACACACACACACACACACACACACACACACACACACACACACACACACACACACACACACACACACACACACACACACGCATACACACACACACACACACACACACACACACATATATATATTGCCACTATGGTCCAGTGGTTAGAGCTCAAGTCCGCGCTACGGCAGTCGTAAAAATGCCTGCGCTCTGACTGCTGGTTTGAGCCCGATTTCACGACGAGAAAACGTCATATCGCCTTTAGAAGTCAAGCGCAGATGTCGTAGGGGAAGTCACCGCCGTGACACAAGTGTTAGCGCGCCGAACTGCGCTTAATTAGGAAGGGCATCCAATCAGGCAAGGGTGTCATACATATATGCATACACACACGCATACATACATACACACACACACACCTATATATGTGGTGGGAATCAGAGATAACGACATATCAGCTTGAGAAATCAAACGCAGGTGTCATAGGGGAAGTCGCCGCTGTGGCATGAACCGCGGTTGATTAGGAAGGACATCCAACCAGGTAACGGTGAGACTGCCAAATGACTTGTCAGTAGTGAATTGAGAGAGGCCTATGTCCTGCAGTGGAATGAATGACTGTTGAAAAAAATGCAGATTTTCTGACAAAAACGCAATAAGCATTTTCGTTTCTTCATGATTATTTTCCGACAAGATTAGCAATTTTCCCTCAAAATGGCAGCTTAGCTCTAGAGGGGGGTTTTCCGCCCCCCCCACCCCCCTCTATCTACGCCACTGCACACACACACACACACACACACACACACACACACACATATACATATACATATACACATATATCGCCATGCATATTTCCGTATCTTTGCGCCGCCTGATTAGCTGCCCTCGCCGATTCCGGACAACGCAAGTGTTCCCCCGGGCCTACACCTGGAGAGATCTGCAGCTGGCAACGTTTAATAAACACAATTTTCAGTGGAATTTACAACTCGCTCTATAATAGGAGAGGGTATATCCTCTCATCCAAATATTTATCTTCTAATAAAAATAAAAGTCTTGTTTTTTACGTTCTGTGTTTCATCGCTTAAAAATTGAGGCTACGTTCTTGGGCCAAATTCCCGGAAATGCGTTTATTATAATATTTTGTGAGCGTATACTTTCATACATATAACATAACCATCGACATGTTCACGCTTAATGCACTGCAGACATGATACTATAATGCATTAACCTAAACATATCGATATTTGTGTCATAAATGGAAATTTACACAAGCAAAACATTTAATGGACGAAACATTTAATGGACGCATTTCCGGATAATAGGCCTGAGAACACCTTTGAACGCACATACTCTCAAATATTGAGAAAACATGGGGAGAAAATGTTTTAAATAGTTTTTTTTTCAAGATCTCACAATTTTATTAAAACAGTTTGCTATTTAACGGAAACGCGAAAATGTCGGCATATAAAATTTGGACATTTTGCTTAATAAACGTATTGGGATATAGTCATTCCTGACAACTAACAAGCAAGAATATTTTGAACAATAACTGATAATTAGAAAAAAAGGTTAGGATAAGTATATGTGTAACAGATGTTCAGATTTATGTTGAATACTGAAGATTACTGGCCGTTGCAGGCATCTTTATGTTGCTAGAATGTTGCTGTCACAAGAGCTGTTTGCTGTAGTCGGAGATGACTTTGCTCTACACTCTATGTATGTGTATCTATTTAGTTGTGTATCTATCTAATGTTGGAATCACATACCTACATAATCACACACCCTAGTCACACTATAAATTCTTAATCGTTTTTGCACCTTCTAACGGTTCTCATCATTTTCAATTTAAATATTTCACGGCATTGATAAACATTTTGTTGAATAATTCATGCAATATAGGTTTATTATTCCCACATTTACATTTTGTTGCATAACTCATGTAATACAGATTTATCATCATATATTTAGAGTTCAATTTCTAGGGAATCCCCTAAATGCACTTCTACTACAAAAAAAGCTTACCTTAAATAGCAATACTTCAAAATTAGTTCGGTGTGAAATGGCTGTTAACTGGTCACACAATATATCCTTTTATGTTTTAACATCTCTTTTTCTTTTATGGTTTCTTGACTTATTTTCTTCAGCCATATTTCTTGATAAAAAAAAAAAAAAAAAACTTTGTAGTTGTATGTATTTTTGTACTTGTTTGATTTTGCTTGTTTTTGTTTATCTCGTGGGAGCCTGTTTTCTGATATAGTATGGCATTTTTTGTATGTTAGATTGTATACTAAATTCAAAGATTTTATGTTTGTTTTTTTGGATAATTTGGACATTCTTCTTGTTCCAGCCTTTATGTGCTATAAAAACAGATATAAACTTCACGCACACAATTAGACACATTGGTTGTATATGTAATACTGCTACAGACATATAAATTTTTAAAAATACAGATGTTTCTTGTCAAATTTAGGGCACCATCCAAGCGACCAAAAAATGTTTCCATAAGTTTCCTTTTTTTTTCTTCTATCTTCACCCTTTTTTGCTACCATATTTAACCTTAGTAGTATATGTACAGGTACAATGAATCTTCAACTTAACTTTGAGCTTGTGCTACAGTTTAATTGTTAATGGTGATCATTATGGGAAGTATCAGTGTGATGGAATTATGCTTCCTTACTGTCTGTCAAACTATGGTTGGACAAATCAGACAACTATGAGAATTTTGATTACTTTTCTTTTCTTTGCGAGGTCTAGTTACATTGTCATCTATTGTTATCTATATCAATTTCAGGTTAATTTTAGTCAGAAACAATTAACATTATGTAACAATAAATACTTTCCTTCTAAAATGTGCCATTGAACTAATCAGAATGACAGGGAATCCAAATGGTCAGAGTATAATATGACAAGGGGTAAAAAGGTGTTCCTGAATACTCAACATCTACTTACATACATATGCAAGATTACAACAAGATTAATAAAAGTGTGGAGTCATTCCTTCTCCATTCACTTTCTGAGGTATCCTAAAACTAAAGCATTATAGTGTTATATCCAATCCTAACATATGACAATTGATCACAAATAATGTTCATGTACATCTCGACTTGCATTGGTTAAAACTGCATACTGTTTTTCCCTTGCTCCAATGTGAAAAGCACTAATTGAGTTCATGAGCTAGAAAAATAGCATTCAGTAAAACAGTTCATACTGGCTACAATTTTATGGTGCTCTAATTACAAAAAAAATATTGGTGATAATTAAAAACTTAAAACAAAAACCACACTAAATAATCAGGTACTAGTCATAAAACTTTTGTACAATAGTAGAGAGCTTCTGAATCAGCTGAACTATTTTAAGAGGTACGTTACCTGAACTTCAGATAACCACTGCAAACCCCTAATTCATCACTACTGGAACATATACATACATGGCTTTGTTTCGTCTCATCATAAATAGTATAAGTGTTTGTTTTATCCTGAAAATGCATTCTATTGTCTTTCAGTTTAGACACCAGGCCATGATGTAAAGGCAATAAAAAAAACTCAACGATGATTTGAGGAGGAATTTAATGAGTGTTGGTTTCCAATTTCAAATAAATGCAGGAAGTTAAAATTACTGTTATCATTATAATCTTTGATAAGGGTTGCACCTGTTGTACTACATACTTTCATGCCTTCCATCTGAGGATTTCTAGAGAACATAACAATCAATATTAAGCACTCCTGACACTAACACAACTTGACATAGAGCTACAATATGCATACCCAGAAGGTGAAATAAATAGCAACACTCTCATCCCTTTATATAATCTATAACAATCTGTGTTAAGAAGTAGTAG